TGTTTGGATAGCCCTTGAAATTATATTTCCAATGATATATTATAATATCAATTCCGAGCTATAACGGAAAAGATGTGAATGAAATATCAAACTCTATCAAAAACTGACACCGTCCCACTATTTCGTCCATATCTTTTATTCTATAAAATATTTTAATCTAATTCTAATTGGGTTAGAAATTAGACTTCAAGATATTTCCAAAGATATCTTATTATCTTATTCCAATTTTTGGATCAAAATATATGATAAAAACAAAAACCGTAAAAACTACAGTCTATCGAGTTTTATTCCGATTTAATTCGGATCTTATCTTAATTCTTCGACCCCTCTTTTTTCTCTATAAATAGAGGTCATATCACCCCTTTTTCAATCATGAACAAGCTTGATCATCAAATAATTGTCTTCTCCCTCTTTAGCTTAATACTAGCCATCCTATTTTCTCAAAATACTTCCCTTAAGCACTCGAAGGAGTTTATACTTAACCCGAGGTTCCGTCCTTAAACCAAGGCGTGAAAGGTATAATTAACTGAGGGTTTGGACCAAATTATCTCTAATTTTATTTATTTTAATTGTTATAATTTGATTTATATATTTTTATTAAAGTTACTAACAGTTTATTCATGATGTAGCAATTCAAGGAAACGCGGAAAGTGAGTAAGTAATTCACTTAATTACACTTATTTTTATATTGCTAGTTTCATGAATAGGGTTATTATTATTATTATTTTATTTGAATAATGATATTATTTTTGAATTGCTTCCAATATTAATGTTTATTCTATTATTTTTATGATCGTCATATTGCATGTTTAAAGGGAAAATGTAATTGAAAATCACGCCTAAAAAGATAATTTGGACGACCGGTTTAGGTTCCTTTTTAATCTTGTTGTTTAATCAAGTGATCACAATATTTTAGAATAATGTTTTGCATTAATATTAAACCAATTTAGCTTAATAATATTTTGGAGCAAATTGAATATTTTGTTTGCATGCCTTTGAGATCGCAGGAATCACTTTTCACTATAAGAATCGAGTAGAGGCCAATACGGGGGAATGTGACTCCATGACTCACTTCGTACCATCATCCCCGATCCTCCTTTCGTGGTTCCGAACCATATGGAGTTAGTAATCTCATGGATTATGAATGGGGTGTAATCTTCACGGGTCAATCGTTGTTGCCTATCGTTGTCCCTTTATCGTGGTTGCCTTTTATGATCCATGAACGGTTTACAAGTTCCTTAAAAACTTGTTGGCGGCTCCCTACTTTCCTTGTCCCTAATCGTATATGTTAATTCCCACTTCCTAAGAGTGCCAAGCATATTCACACATGCTTTTACGTAGGCGCACTTCGAACGACGCCTACAGTGGGCAATCCCGATTATGCGGTCTATCACTCACTTGGCATTCATGTTTCTCAGGCACGGTGTCGAGCACTCAATAAGAGACGCAATATGAGATGTATTCATATCAAAGACATGTTCATTTCAATGACATTGGAACACTTTCCCTTTTGCACAATTTTTATTGCTATTTTATTCTTTTGAAATTTTCATAAAATCACTTAAGTTTTTATTCTTTGAAAATTGGGTAAATTGCACACTATCCCATCCCAAGGTTAGGTAGATGTGGGTTGAAAAAAAAAAGAAAGGTCTATCGTTAGGTGAGGCTCAAAGTGGTTTATCAAAAAAATATTGTATATTTGAAAGGGTGAAGATGATATGATAGGCTACAAAGGGTGCCTCAAATCATTGGTATACCTTGTGCTTAGTTCGACATGGATTTTTTTTTATTTTTTAATTTTTTTTATGCAATGTAATGAACTGATCATATGCAAGAAAAGAAAAGCTCATTTTATTAAAAGGTAAAAAGTAAAACCCCTACAAAATAAGATCTAAAGAAAATAATAGGTGCCTATGCTAGAATTATTGGGGAAAGGAATAAAAAAATATAGAAAAAGAGGTCACAAAATCTTGTCGTTGAATCTCGCCTCGTGTCTTGCGCTCTTATTATCACTCGGTCTTCTTGCTAGCAGGAGGTATCAAAAGCTTGTTATTATCGATCAAGTATTGGATGGCCTCCTTTAGCTTCCAACAACTTTCAGTAGTATGACCCCTACCTTGATGGTACTTGCAATGTGCATTTGGGTTCCAACTAGGCAATCTCTTCTCAGGTGCGAGATCTTGAATAGGTCCAATGGGAGTAATGAGTCCCTTGGAATGGAGTCGATCGAAGGCAGTATCATAGTTCATCCCAATAGGAGGGAAATCTTTCCTTAGTTGATTTTTAGACCCTTGATTATCCATGGCTAAGACTTCATTGAGATCAAAGGTACTAACATTATTACTAGAGTGGGCGTTTTCGGAAGAAGAAGGATTGTCGTTCTTCTTTCCTTTCCAGCCACTGTTGTTGCTATTGTTAGCAGCTTTTTTCTTTGCAAAGTCATCTTCTATTTCAATTCCTATGTCAAAGACGGTTTTGAAAATATTCAAGTTGTGTTGATATTTCAAATGATTCTAATACATGTCTTGAAGGTTCTTGATGAACATCCTTATAGATTCTTTTTCGGTGGGCACCTCAATCATCTTAGCGGAAGTTTCCCTCTACTTATTAAAGAAAGAAGTAAAGCCTTCATTCTCTTTTTGTCTTAGCATCTCAAGTTGTCTATAGTCGGTTTCGACTTGAATATTACATTTATATCTATCAATGAAAGCATTTACAATAGCATCCTAAGTAGAAGTTTTCTTTTTATCAAGAGAAAAGAACTATTGCTGACAAACGGTTTCAAGTGATAAAGAAACCAATGTATGAAAAAATTTCTTATCTATCCCCTTAATATTTATTATTGTCTCGAACGCTCTTAATTAGAAGTAAGGATTATCTGTTGTCTTTGAACTTAGGGATGTCAGTGGCGTTGAACTTCTGCGGAAGAAGATCCTTGTCCACTAAGACCCCTTGAGAGCTAATGCCCTGAAATCTATAGTCACTTGATATTTTGCTCAATCTTTCTTGCATGAGCTCCATTTTTTTGTTGCCTCGCAGGGTCATTGACTTGAAGAGCTATACTCTTCATTAATTCAGTTAGGTTGGCCACATCCTTCTTCAGTTCATTAACTTCTTCCTGAGACGCTATTATCTTCTTAGCCTTTCTTTTTCGACTAATTAGTTTGTCAAAGAGTAGCACTTGAACAAAGGTGTTGTCCTTGATTAATCGCCCTTCCCTCCTTGACCAAGTGCTGTAGAAAAGGGAAAGTAGGGGTAAGTTTTTCATTTTTGACTCAAGCTCTATTCAACATGTAATAGATGGGAAGAGATCATGGAAAAGAGGGGTGAATGATATTTATGGACAAAGTATGTAGAGAGTTACAAAATTTTATAGATGGGAATATATAGAAGAATTTAGGAATAAAGTGGACCCCAACTCAAATGACGGAAAGAGCGACTCATGCATGAACCTAAGACATGGTCATGGTGTGAAAAGAGTATGTACAAAATGTGTGCTAAGACTAGTGATTTTAGGTGACATGTTAAGGCTAGTTTCATGACATGTGACTAGACTATGTGACTAGACTCGAACAAAGACTAAGTTAAGACCTCATGTATGTGCACTAAACTAGACAGGTTGTAGTATTTTAGTCATAAATTTTTATCTGTGACTTTGAATTCAACAAAACCAACGCCAAATGAAAGATAAAACTCGGGGCTACAGATCCCAGGTTTTATGACTCGTAACTCTTTCTAGAACTCTGGATATGACCAAAAACATGTTGACGCTTGTGCAGTATACGGAGATAAAAATCCGAGTTGACTCAAAGGAACTATGACTCAATTTTAGACATATTTATTAGTTTAAATTAATTAACTAATAAAGAAAAGTCCTATAGTCATTAATTAATCTATTTAACTCATTCACAAGTCAAACAAACGGTTAGGGGAAACACATATAAGATATGCACAACAAATAATGCACAAGTAGTAGTCACGATATGATGCAATGAGTTTGCAACCTAACCATGGCTCTAGTTCTCTAAAGTTCAGGATATGGGTTAGTCAAAGAGGGTCCATGTTTATAAGTCCGGATGCACCGCGCAGAAGCCTTACCTTTGGAAGGGTTAGCGAGTGTGGATGGGACCCCGCGAGTTAAACTCGCTTCCATGGTTTGGTGAATTCAACAATCTCGGATGTACCCTTCGTTGTCAGGAGCGTTCGATTAGGTAGATGGAGCATGAATTCCCAGAGGGTTATGGCCATATGTAGAACACATAAGGGTTTCAGAAAAAGGGAAAAAGTCAATCAGGAAGTAAAACCGAGCAAATAATACTAGAAAAACTAGTCGAAACAAGACACTAGTGCAAAACTAACCTTAAGTAACACCCACAAAATGTTACATAAAGTGGTAAAAGTGTTATTATAAACAATAGGTAACACTTTAGTGGGTGATACATCCGCCCATGTTACTTAAGGTCTTATGTAACACTTTGGGTAAAGTATAGTAGCACTTTTTAAAGTGTTACTATAAACTCTCTAATGTAACACTTTTTTATATTATAGGTATCACTTTTAAAGTGTTACCTTTTATTCTTAGGTAACACATATTTAGCTTTAGTATCATTTTTCAATCATATAGTAACACTTTATCCAACATAGTGTATCACTTTTACGAACTAATGTAACACCTTGTTGAGTATTAGGTAACATTTTTTACTCATTTTTTGACATATAGTATCACCATATTCAATATTATGTATCACTTTTTGCAAACTAATGTAGCACCTAATTAATTAATTGTAACATTTTAATATAATAATTATTATTGATAAATTTCTTTTTTGAAACAATTATTTATCGGCATTAGTTCAAAATCGACTTAGGGCACCGGTTCAAGGGCCAAACCGGTGCCCTTAACTTAAAATAAGGGCATTGATTGTCCCTTGAATCGGTCCCTTTAATGCCTAAAAAAAGGAAAATTGATAAACAAACCATTATATATGTATATAAATAAACTTGGATATTTTTTTTAATAAATGCTTGTAATATTACAATTTCATTAAAAAAAATAAAAATTACAATATACAAAACAGCATTAGCTTGGAAATAGAACAGTAGCAGCACGAAAACTGAACAGCAACAGCACATAAGTAGAACAGCAGCAGCATGCAACAACAGAAGCAGTAGCAGAACAGCAACAACACATATGCACAACAACAGTAGCACATAAGCGGAGCGACAGCAACATGCAACAGCAGAAAAAAACGCAATAACAACTTTAGTGCTTTCTAACAGAGAAAATTGATTACAATTTCAGCTGCTAAGTAAGGCTCCACCTAATATCCTCGAAGTGGAGAGAAACGAGAATGACAAGCATAGAACAACGAATCCAAGACGAACGGCCAGTCTTTCGGATGTACTCGGCCTGCTACCTAGTCTTTGTGGCTTGCTTATTCACTTTTATTTCAGCAGCTGTTCGCTTTTCTTCAGTTGTGTGCCTTGCAGTAGCAAGCTTGTTCACGAACTTATCTTGTGTTTTGGCTTTCATTCTTTCCACCTCAACCTGAACAGTTACAATTTAGTGATGAAAGTAATATTATTATGGTAGATTGGGAGGACCATAACTAATCTTGTGCACTATAAAAAAATAAAAAGACTTAAGAAGATATAAATATAGTTTCTGCTGTCAAACAATTAACACCCAGTACACCCCACCCCCTGCGGCCTCTCACACACTAACCCAAAATAAATCTAGTGTATCTTTACATATGATAACAAACTCCTATATACATTCACTTTCAACAAAGCTGAGAATAAAAAATTGGCTATCCCTCAACCTCTCACTATACGGATTTTTAATCAAATATCATTGTTAGGAATTGTTCTCTTCCATACGATAAAGCAAGCTGTTAGTTATTTTAGTTTTAAAACCAAAATAGAAATAAATTTGTTCCTAACTCCTTATACACGCACCATCCTTGAGGACTTTATATTGGCAATTCAATAAAGTACAATAAAGTACAAAGATATTAGATGACAGATGCAAATCAAAAGCTAACTGGCCCGGGGAAAACATATAAATCAATGCTGACAAAAATGGTTGACTCCATAATGAATAAAGCAAATAATAAACAATTGGTAAAATATTATAAAAGTACTGAATACCTCATTTTTTCTCATCTCAGCCTTAGTTTTAGATTTTTAATGATTTTTGCATACTTGGATCTTCATTGCTTCACGTTCAGACCTGTATAGTTTATAACTATGTTATTTTTTTGTCTAGATAGCACTAAGAAAGGTTTAAAGATGTATAATAAATAGTCAAATTTGGTCTTATATATAGACTTGGAGTAAGATTATTTGCTTTATAAGTGTAAACCAATGAAAGTCAGGCAAAAAAAAAAAAAAAATCTCTACTTATCTTATTTCGTTCGGTAAAGTCTTGCTAGTTGCTAGCCCTGGGTGGCTAGGCTCTCCCCATGACAAGCTCAAAGAGCTAGATTCACCATGGGGAAACCAAAGATACAAGGTTCTAAACCTAAACAGGTACTCCCAGCTACCCACTATACTTTCACTTGATTGAAAAATATGAAGAGGGAGATAAAAAAAAAAGAAAGAAAAATTCTTGATCAAGACTAAATATATGCACATTCAAGACAGCAGAAGTTCCCAAGGTATGATGTTACTAAGTACGAAAAGTATAGCATAAATACCTAATATATCTTCACATTTATTTTATTTTTTCCATTGACTTCCCTAGTTAACAATTTTTATAGCACAGATTCTCCATTTCTCCCACTATACTGCACTACTTCTCATAATAAATTAATTAAGCCAACTATGTTTGATATGAGATTCTGCAATTAGGACAAACGAACCACCTTAACATCATACAAACAACTTCGACGATTACAGTGTTATATCAAAAACCAAAAGCAGGTACTGCTCATCAGATTTGATACCAAGTTAACATTCCACAACAAGATAGAAGATTAGCTTTTAGAACTCCACCACAATGAAATCATAAATATGAGCTGGCAACAAACAGATAATGAAAAAGATAGATGACATTCAATTTACTCAAGATAATTAGGCATAGAAATACAACTACTGTATTTAAGGTTATTATTCAGCTAACCCAAAGCGTTCTTAATCCTATTTAAACTAAGAACGAAAGTAAATCACTACTTTCTCTACAAGGTAGAGAACTAGAGATGCCAAAAGTGAAATCAAGTAAAAGTTTAGACTTAAAATACAGAGATATGATTTATTTTTCTCTGCTTCCTTATATTAAACTATCAAAAGTTAATATTTCCAATCAAGATGAGGCACTCCAAAACCACAAAATGCCTTCATCATTCTGCTCTATGGAAGGCTTAATCATCATATTCATCCTCCTATTTAAACCCTAATATAACCCAAAATTCAAACCCTAATCCTAACAATTTGAATGCTGACCATAAATTCAAACCCTAACCCAAAATTTCGAACCCTAGTCCTAACAAATTCATAGCAGCAAGCAAGCAACAAGAAATGAAAAGCAAGTAGTTACAAAGCCAAAAAAAAAAAAAAAAACAAAAAACAAAAAACGAAATCCCCAAATTCACAGAATCGTCGTTTATTTGTATTGTAAAAAAATAAATAAATAAAATGAAATCCCCAAAATCAAAACCCAAAATCATAGATTAAAGAAATAAATAACCCTAAATCGAAAAATAAAAGTAGAAATAAACTTACAATTGCAGGTGCTGATGGTGCGATTTTGTAGGAGGGAAAAAGAGGTGATGGTGCAGCTTCGGCTTGAAGAAGAGGTGGTGGTGGCTGCCCGGCGTCGGCTTGAGCAAGGTAGTGGAAGACATCCCGGTCGATTTGAAGATGACTGAAGTAATGAGGAGATTGAGAAAGTTGGGGTTTTGTTATTATACTTTGGCGCTTTTAAAAATACCACAAAATTAAAATTAACACACATCCTTTTTTACACTTTAAGCTTTTTTTTTTTTTTTTTTTTTTTTTTTGTGAAAAACAAAGCTTAATTACTGTTTTAATAATTCATTTCAAAATACTTATAACGATTTTTTTGACACATACTAATGATTTTAATACTATGAATGATAACTTCTCAGTAAGTGGACCCTATACCTACTTCGACATCATTAATGTTATTTACAATTTTTTAAACCAATTAAGTTGGTGTCAATCGAACTAGTGGTACAAGTTAGGATCAATAATGTAAACTCGTCATAAATTGATGTCATTAGTTGTTATTTTTCCTAAATGAGGTAAAGGGTAGTAGGTCATATTGAACCAGTACATCTATATAAGTTAAGGGTACTGATTTTTGTAAAATAGTATCTTTTAAGGGCAGTTTTTCTTTTTTTGGGGTTTAGACAAGCTATTACAGTAGCGTTTTAAGAACCAACACTTTTCTTCAACTGCCTTTTTTACTTATTCTTCCTTTATATATTTATTTCTACTAATGATATGAGTTCTACTTTATCAGAATGTTACAATAAAGTGTTACTTAATATCAAAGTGTTACAATCAAGTGTTACTTAATATCAATGTGTTACACTAAAGTGTTACTTAATACAAAAGTGTTACAATAAAGTGATATAATGTCAAAGTGTTACAATAGTGTTACTTATAAATTAGTTAAGCTTCTAGCCTTGAAAGTGATACCATGTGGTGTTACCTTAGATCAGTTTTGTAGTAGTGAAGAAGGTAGATTTCTGGCTCGGTAGTGGAAGAATTTGGTGCTTAGTCGCTGGCACTGTTTTCTCAGCGTTAATTCCTATATGCCTCGGCAGCTTTATGTTCTTGAATTTTCCAGTTTTTTTCGTAGCATTATTTCGACTTTAGTTATGAAAGAAAGATATTTCCCTAGATTCCTACATGTAAAAATCCTATGTTTTTGGCTAATTACGGATGGTCTTTCCAATGAAAACATTTTTATGCTTATGCTTATGCCAATAATGTGAATAAAAATTACGTACATGAAATACTTAGAATTTTTCGAGTCTCATCCACTCATTCTAAATCATTGCCAAAATAAATTTTAGGAATTAAAATAGAAATCCTCCCCAGTTGAGTTGCCAAAAAATTATAGGGAATATTTCAAGCCATCCCACACTTGAGTCCTACTGTGATCATACACTTAAGCATGGTGACATCCAAAGGAGATGAAGCTAGAGTAAAAGATTCGCCAACAAGTTCTAGGAACTTGTAAACCATTCACGGGGTGAACGTTACACCCTTGCTTTAACGATCCATGAGATCGTTAACTCCAATAGGTCTGGAACCATGACTAGAAGTTCGGGGATGAAGGTACAAATCCAACCTAAAAGAGATTGAACTTTCCCTAAAAATAGGCCTCTACTTTATTCTTCTCGTATTCATGTGTGCCTTATGACTAACATGCATCAATAGGTTAACCCTAAACCTGATTAATCTATGTTGGTTGAGTATTAATGCACATATAAATATATTATTGCCGATCACTTGAATTATAATCATATTATCTTAAACAAGATTATTAATTATCTTATTAAGCGTGATTATAAGTACAAATTCCCTTTAAACATGCATAAAAGACGTGATCAAACAATAAAAATAATAAACATCAAGCAACATAATAATCATAATAATAACTATAATCAGCATCAAAATAATAATCACAATTAAAATAATTATGTTATAGCATAATACTATTAGTAAGATCCTAGGCATGATACTAACAAGATTAATAGCAAACCATAGCATGTCACTAAGAATTAAAAATCAAAGATTTAGCCCTAACATGATATTAAGAAAGAAATAGGAAGCAATAATAATCATACTTGATATTAGAAATCTTAGTTATTACCCTAAACATGATACTAGGAAGCAATAAAACATCCTAACATGATACTGGAAATCAACAAAATAATCTAAACATGAATTCTACATCAATAAAGCAATTAAATTACTTAGTTCGATGCCTCGTATCTCTTTCTAATAACAAAATACACACATTTGTAACTTCAAGGAAAATATAAAATCAAATAATTAAATTAAATAATTGAAAGAAAAAGTTAAAAAGTTTATACTTGATTTGAATTGGGACCAAACCCTCAGAAATTATCAACCTTTTACGTCTAGGGCGAAAGCAAGCTCGAACTTGGCTAGGTGTGTCTAGAGCTAATGTCTGTGGAATTTCGTAAAAGGGAAGGTTTAGAAAAAAAGAATTAAGAGAGAAGGAAAGCTTTTAGCGTTTAGAGAGAGAATGAGTCGAGAGATGATAGATGATTGTTGATGATTAAAAACGGGGAGATACGATCCCTATTTATAGAAAAAATAGCACGGAAACGATAGAAAAGAGTTCGAGTACTATTCGGAATAAAAGACCTCATGTCGCCCACAACAGGAGTTAGCGCCAGACGACAGGTAGCTGCGCCAGGCGACAGACTTGTCGTTTGGCGCTGGGACAATTTTTTTTATAAATTTTTTTATTATCATATCTTTTGATACAGAAGTCCAAATAATTCATATAACATGTCGTTGGAAAGCTCTTGAAGTCTTCTTTCCAACTCAATTAGAATCAGATTAAAATATTTTGTATATTAAAAGATATAGCTAAAATAGTGGAAGGGTGTCAGTTTTGGATAGAGTTTCGTATTCCATTCATATCTTTTTCGTTGTAGCTCGGAATTAATATATCATTGGAAATATAATTTCAAGATCTATCCAACCATATAATATTTGGATAAAGATTATGAGGCACAAAAATAATATCTGACTGTCTTTGAACATCTTTAAATTCGAATAGAATTAAGATTAAAAAAAGGAAAGTTTTATTCAATTTCAAACTCTTTGATATTATCTTTTTAAATAGGATGATTAAGATCTTTTAGAAACTCATAGAAGCTTCTAACAAATCCTAATTATTTTATGAATAGGATTAAACATTTGGACCCTCCACATGATTATTAGGCCATAAGTAAAATCCGATTTGAGCCTAGTTTAGTATTTTGGCCATAACTTCTTCATTATTCATCGGAATTGGGCTTATTATATATTGTTGGAAAGGTTTTTTCAAGCCCCATCTAACTACACTATTATTGGACCCATATCATGGACCAAACTAAACTGAAATGCACGAATTTCATAAATAGGGTAAGAAAAGAAATATTTTCAAAAACAGTAAGAGGAGATATTTTAATAAAAACATCCTCATCACTAGACTTTTCACACCTTCGCTTTGTTCGATAATAAATGACATGAAATGTATTCATCATTGGGCTTGGTTTTGGGGAGACACATTTGTGTGTTTACACTATGGCTATGGAACTACCTCTAATACCTCACCCTATCCACCTTTTTAACTCAAGAATGTCTTACTTGTTCCTAATATTAGTTTCCATTAGGAAATTTGCTTGTAATAATTTTGTGTCTGTTGAGTTTGACCCTCTCGGTTTTTCTGTGATGGACCTTATTTCGGGGACAACTTTAGAAAGGTGCGATAGTATGGGGGACCCCTACATTTTTTCCAACTCTTCCACTCCAAATGACAATAGTCAATTATCTCTAGCTCTATTTTCTCCTTCAACTTGACATCATAGACTTGGACATCCGTGCGATCCTATTTTTGGTTTTCTTAGGAAAAACAATTTAATTCGTTGTCATAAGAGAAATAGTACTCAATTTTGTTGTTCTTGTCCTTTAGGGGAAAACATGTACGACTTCCTTTTAAGCTATCTACTTCTATCACTTTTTCACCGTTTGATATTGTTCATGCAAATTTATGGACATCCCTTATTTCTAGAAATTGGGTCACAAATACTATCTAGTGTTGCTTGATGATTCTCTCATTTTATGTAAGTGTTTTCTATCAAATCTAAATCTCAAGTCTATGGAATTTTTCTTCATTTTAGAGAATATGTTAGAACTCAATTTGAAAGGGACATTCAAACCTTTTAAAGTGACAATGGTTGGGAATTTGACAATTCTCCATTTCGTAACTTTTGTGTGTCTAATGGAATAGTCTTTCGTCTCTCTTTCCTGTACACTTCATCCCAAAACGACAATGACGAAAGGATCATTCGCACTATTAACATGTCTCGCACTATACTCTTTCATGCCTCTCTCCCCATCCTTTTGGGTTTACTCTATAAATATTGGGCTTACATCCTTAACTTATTGCCTAGTATAACCATACCAAAAAAGACACCAACCGAAATATTATTTCGTAAAGTACCCACGCACTTATGATCACCTTCGTACTTTTGATTGTTTTTGCTACCCAAATCTTAGTGCAATCGCTCCTTACAAGCTTGCTCCTAGATCTAAACTATGTGTTTTCCTTGGTTTTCCTTCTAATCTTAGGGGTTATATGTTTAATGACTTATCATCCAACAAAATTACTATCTCTCGCCATGTGACATTTGTTGAAGACCTTTTCCCTTTCTCAAACCATCAAAACTTTCAAGCAATAGATTATGAATTTATAGATGCCATAAACACCTATGCTACTAACCCCATGTTCATGCAAACCCAACACCCAGTTGGCCCACAAGCAGCCGGTTCAACTCCAACACATAGTCCTCCTCAGTCTTGTAATACCCCGTATTTTTATACGTTTTTATTTAAAATAGGTATTTTGTGAAGTATTTAAATAATTTGAAATGTTTTATGTATGGTATTTTAACGGTCAATAACTTTAATTCTCCATAATTAAAAAATAAAAGTTATATATTATGATAGTACTTATTGAGACTAATTCAAAATGATCCAACATAAATATGTTTTTCCTTACATATTATTCACAAAACACAATCAAAGGAGGGTTGGTGAATATAGTGTAAAAGTCAAAGCGGGTCAAATAAAAAAAAACGGAGGAAGTATGTACTTATGTACATCAATGTGATCAACGTGATATCAATAGTTTGAGCTTTGGTTCGAATTTTGATTGATTACCTCTACCCATGTGCATATTTGTTTTCGCTGGGTTAGTAGGTGTATTAGTTATTGAACGCAAAAAGATTTGCTACTTCGCAAGTAGCTAGGCTTTGAGCTTCTGAATGAAATTATAATAGTGGGCTGGGTCATGAATGCGGCTAATCATGGGCTTCTTAGCTCATATCTTACAAAATCCTTTGGGCATATTTTTACATTTCTGTGTTAAAAATCCTTGTGCTTACTGCTAGAGTTGTGGCAAAATAGATTTGGGCCTTGAAGTTTGGGCAAAAATACTTCATTATAAATTCCAAACAAAAGGAATTAGAAGTAGATTTATCATAATCGAATGTGGCCTGATCTCATCTTTCTTAGATAAAATGTTATATAATTATATTGATTAACACGTAAATTTGTATATGAATATACTTCATTAATCATTATAGTTGGAACAAATCGCAAATCTATATACGAAGTATTTAGATAGATCCATTACATAATTGTTTGATTTTTGTATAAAA